TCCCCCCCCCCCCCCCCCCCCAATACCATCTAATGGATACTATTTACATTCATATGCCTTGAGACATTTAAATTATACAGGGTCTTTCTTAAAGTGATGGACACATTTGTTCAGAGCAAACATTTTAGAGAAAGCTAAAGGTTTTACAAACTTTTCTTTATCTATTAACATTAGATTACTAGAGACGAAGATAAGTTATTAAGAAAATATATATTTTATTAGCCTGTGTTTAGTTCAGTTACTTGGATGTTTCAGTTCACCCAAGTAAATGGTACAATTAGATTCATTGCCACAAATAATTTTATAACTGTGACTTTTTAAAAAAAAACAGCTGGAGTTTGTACAGTAGGGTCTCTGACAACAATACAATACATTTCTTAGCCTTTTTAAAAACAAAGCAAAAACAGCTCAGAACAAACATATGCAAAAATGGTATGAATCTGAAATAGATTAATTCCTCCATCCCTGCTGCTTACACAATTCTTGCAGTTCAGTCTCTAGGTTTCAGAGATCCCTTCTTAAAATATCCTGTCCTTAATGAAACTACGTCTTGATCAAAGTTTTCTTTGACTGATGCTCCTTTTTACTCATCACATGCTTATTTCCCAGGCAGAGAGCTAATAAGAATATAGTAAGAAGTTCTTTATATTATGGGTATTACTTGAGAGCAAGAACAGTGTACGGGCAGGTTGTAATGGTGAAGGGAGGGAGCCAGAGCAGGATTCTGCTCTCATTGCCCCTACTGAGCTGTAGAGCTGGGTGGATGCCTAACAATGCTGATTTGGAACATTAACCTCAGTACTTGGATAAATGATTCAGTTCCATTTAAACAAGGAAATAATCAGTATATATTTGTGTGAAGTGCATAGTTTAATGCCTTCTTTGGTTGTGGGTGAGATACCAATTAATCAGTTACCTGTTTGTTCCATTAGTTTGCACTTGATAGCGATGTTGTCTCTTCTGCAACTATAGGTCCAGTGGATGAGTACCTGTTGCCTTTTGAAGAAGAAATAGGCCAGCATCCATCTCTTGAAGACCTACAGGAGGTGGTAGTTCATAAGAAGATGCGTCCCGCATTCAAGGATCATTGGCTTAAACATCCTGTACGTCCTTTCTCGATGCTTCAATTTTTCTCCCCAACGTCTAGAGCTAGGCAGGGCAGTGCAATTCAGCAGAACTCAATATCCCTTCAAGTTAGTTAGCAAAGTAACATTAGCTAACTAATGTTGGCAATTTTACAAAAAGGATTGTCTCAAGCCATAAGCAAGGTTCTTTATTAGAATTTGTCTATTGTTGCTGTGGTTGCTGCCTTAATTTGTAGTAAATCTGAGCAATCATCAGGAGTGTAGTAAGAAGAGGAAGGAGGTTAACAATGCTGAGGATACATTGTTTTCTTTGCCTGCATATAAGAAAGAATTTTTTTTTTTTGAAATATAGGTGTCATCAACCAAATATGATTAGAATTCAAAGGACCTTGCAACTAGTTCTGTGTGCCGGGAAGAATTTGGGTCTGGATTTCTCTCACATCTGGCTATCCGTCAAGCCACTTAACAACACAAAGAGACTTTAAAAAATAGTATGGTGGGAAAGCCAATATTTAACACCCCCACACACACACACACTTATGCTGCTTCGTGTTTTTAGAAGCCATTTCTGGTTCTCTTGGCTGACCCATCAATATGGTGCCTTAGAACCCTTTAGCATCCATTTAGAGGTTACTGAAAGAATGGAAGACAAATTAATAGAACTTCCAAAAATTAAATATCCCACTTGGACAATCAGTACTCCTGTTTGATATGCCCGTATATGTACCTTTGGCCATGGATGCAGCTGCTGCTTCTTTCTATCTTTGCATAGGTGGGAAAAGGACCACTAAGTCTTTCATTAAGTAAAGCATCTTGTGAACTGTGACAAGCCAAAGTTGTTGTGGTTTCAAATAAGCTGAGGTTTAACCATCTTCAAACAATTATTTAATAATCTAATTCATTGCAAAGTTGTAACACGTAACTTCTCAGTTGAGCAGAATGGGAAACGATGGTTGATTTCATTGTTGTTTTTATTTGAAGGGAAGAGCAAGGCCTCTACCTTATTTGTATCTGAATGCAACCTATGTGGGATGTGGAGATTTAGATCTAGCAGCATCAAGCTCCGTCCAGCCAGTCTTTCCTTATTAAATCCTTCTGTTTTCTCTTTGCGCATTCAGGGTTTAGCACAGTTCTGTGTCACAATTGAAGAATGCTGGGACCACGATGCAGAGGCACGGCTATCGGCAGGTTGTGTGGAGGAACGCATTTCTCAGATACGCAAATCAGTCAATGGCACTACCTTAGACTGCCTTGTTTCCATCGTGACCTCTGTCACCAATGTGGACTTGCTGCCCAAAGAGTCAAGTATCTAAATCCTTGTTTGCCTTTTTTTTTTTTTGGTTTCTTTCCAGACTCAGTGGATTTTTTTAAAAAAGTAAAAAAGTAGAAATCACAAATTCAACACACACACACACACACAAGCATACATATACATGAATGCAGCTGCTATTTTTAATCTTGACTTTTATTATTATTATTATTATTATTTGTTATTATTATTATTATTTTGATTGGATCAATTTTACCAGCATGTTGCTCTACTGTATTAAAAAGAAAAAAAAAAAGAGAAAGGACATCTCTCTGCAAGCATTCGGGTGCCGACTAATGAATGCAGTCACAGTGCAGGTACCTCAAAACCTCAATGAACTCACTTTGTTTCTTTTTGAACCTATTTTCTGGATTTTCTCTTTTACCGACCTGCATTTTTACACCAAGCATCAGTGATAACAAGAAAACAACCTACTCATCTTCTAGACGTGCTGCAAAGTCAAGACTGTTACATGAGATCACACCTCAAAAACTGGACTTTCCCCCCAATTTTTCCTTTTCTTTATTTTCTATTTTAGACAGTGAGCTTAAAAAAAGAAAAAGCAGATGTGTCTTTTACGGGTCTAACGGGTGTTGCCGTGTGGGGGGAGGGGAGTGATTGAGTTGAGAATATTAACTCTGATGGTAGGATTGAAAATGAGAAGTTTAGTAATAGGGCTGGGGGATAAAAGAGATGGACTTTTGCAGCATTTGGAGAAACATCGGCTATAGAGCTACTTCTCAGGAAAACAGTTAATGAGAGGATGGGCAAGTTTTGAGGCAGAGTATTAAACTGCTGCAGCATGCAGAGAAAGTTGGGTCACAAAATCACTGGTACAAATGGATTCTTAATTATCTCAGGCTTGGGTAATGTTAAATGAAAAAAACCCTTTATATTATATTTATAAGTTCAGAGAATGAGGTCTTGGGATTCAATAACTGCAGATTTCCCTCAATGTGTCTAATAGAGCAGTGTTACAGTTCTAAACAATTTTCTGAAATTTTAATAAAAATACGAAAGACAACCAACTCCTGACCTAGAGCTTAAAAATGGCCAGTGTATCCCATTATATATTGGCATGCAGTATTCAAGGTAATTCATGCAATGACGTGAAGCATCCTTTCTTCGAAGACTCATTGAAATCAATAAGACTTGCTTCCAAGTAAATGTGGCCGGGATTCATCAGCAGTGAAATTCAGTTTCACTCTTAGATCTTAATATCTGCCGGACAAATTTACATTGAGGTTAAGCCTGTTTAACTGCTATGGCTACCAGGAATTGTAAGGGGAGATAAACATTCCCCACTAAGAACACGTAGAAAGGCTGTCCCCGGTGCTTCACGGGAATGTATGTGCAGGTGTAAAAAAAGTCAAGATAGCCAGCTGTGATCACAGCCATCTTAACTTTTTTGACACCCTCCCCCCTTCCAGTGGACACCCTTGCATAGTCCTTTGGCAAAAGTCATGGCAGTTGAATCAGTTTAATACAGTTGTCAACGTTTCTTTGATTTACAGCATGGATAGGTATAGTATAGTTTAGACTGATTCTAAATACATTTTTACATGTTACATGGAAATAAGTTCCTTTGCTTTCAATGCGGCTTCCAGCTGGATGAGGTTGACGGGTCCCTCCTATTTTATTTTTCTTGATTCTTCATTCTCTGAATGCTGTCACCCAACTTTTTCGTCTTAACAGTGGTGCATATTTTAAATACAGTTAATTCTATTATGCCATAAAACTCGCTCTAGTCAGTGAATGCTCCTAATGCTGCTGATACAACATTTAAATATTTTTTTAACTTGCAAAACATGCAATGATTTTTAAAGAAAACTTAGAACACACATACACATTAAGTGGCTTCCGAGGTTTAAACTAAAAAAAAAAGTTTCAAAAAAAAAATCTTCATGACCACAGACCACCTCAAACCAGAAATACCTCAGAATTTTCTACTTGTATGAGTTTTATTATATATTTTGTTAGTTGTGTTGTCTTGTAGTATGTATATTTTAATGTAAGTTGGCTTTTATGAAAAGGGAGTTTTAAAAAAAGAAGAAAAAAAAAAGAAAAAAGTTCCACAATCTTTTAGGAAGTGCTACCATTTCTGTTGGTTTTTTATTTCTATAAAGCACCATTGTAAATAAGTGTAAACAGTTTTAGAGGAATTGCCTATACAAGATTGCTGGGCAAAATCACTGTTACTTGTGAAGGCTTGCTTCCATTTTCTTATTTTTGGGGAGTAGTAGGAGCACAAGTTGTTTTAGTAAAGAATACTAGTACAGCATTTCCTTTATGAAATATTTTCCCCTGAAGATGTTAATCTATGAAAGAAAATTATTTTCTTTAGACTTGCATTCAGCCATTGGTTGATTGATACCCAGTTAATGGAATACAAATGATCATTCAATAAAACATAGAGGCTGCAATCCCTATTCCCCTTATGCCAAGGCATTTTCATTAATGGTAGGAGAACAGCTACAGAAACATCTCAGAGAAGGTGTTTCCTAACAAAGAACAGCAGAAGGAAACTAATCTTGCCAAGCAGACGTGTCCAAAATGACCTGTCTTTTGCCTTGTGAAGGGAGAGGAGAGTTGCTTTTGACTGCTTATGAAAGTGCAAAAAAAAAAAAAGTTTCACTTTGCATGCTTCCGCACCTATTTCAAGGGGGAAGAACTTGATGTTGGGAATTTGAGGATACTGTCCTTTCCTTGGGAAACAGTTGCCTCCCTAAGAAGGAAGTAGAAGTATTGATGCTTCTTCTCTTTGCCCCATTTCTGAACATCTAAACTATTTAAGGTAAAATGAGCAACATTGAACTTAAACTTAATTGAAATATATTAGGTGTACTTTTACATACATTAAAAGTAATTGAGGAATATGAACCGATTTATTATTTCAAATAAATATGTAAATGGCAAATGCAGACGCCTTTTCTGAACTTCAGGAGTGGGCATCTGGAGGGGGGCAAATGATGGCACGTATGTAATCATACAAATACCATAATTTATAAACATGTTTCAAGTGTCCTACAACTTGTACGTAATTGTGGCATTTGCATAATTACATCATTGTGCACATGTCATTTTGGTGTCATTGCAGCTTGCTGCAGGTGCTGTTGACTTCAGGGGGATCTATTCAACATTTGTCAGTGATTAGTATGTTAAAAACTAATTTTTGCATACTATTGACTAAACAGGATGATAATTTCATTGGCCATGTACTATACATTTTTTTGCAGAATAGACCTTTGTCGCTGTTCACTGTTTTATATCAAGATTAACCATCTGGTTGATTCACAAACTTCATTTTGGGACTGGCTCTATAACAGAAAATCCTAAGAGTCAGTAGTTTGATGGATTCAGAAAATACAAAATGAAAATGTACCAATGACTGGAATGGAAAGTAGTTAGTGCATTTACTCTGCAAAGCCTCAAGCAGCTGTGGAGAACCAAACTAGGACAGGCCTGAACAACTTGTAATCCACTATGTATTGTGGCTTGCCAAGTAATTAATAACTCCTTTGATTTTGCAGTCACAATGAGGTAATTTTTTTGAGTACCTACTATACCTTTGTATTTGGAAGTAGCAGGCTGTGTTTAATTTGGAAGGGGTCACCAATTATGAGGCTTCAACAAAGAGTTCTAATTTATGTCTTTACAAATGATAATGTTAAGGGGAACAATGCAGGCTTCAGGAAGAGTGAAGTGAAGGAAAATAGAACCATTAAGATGAAATAAACTTTGAAATCTATATATCTCTAACAGTCAAGGTGGGTGGTCAGCAGTGGGGGAAATATACTGTTGTTAATGCTGTGCTGCTTCAAATATGCTTTTTCCTCTCTTGCAGCATTATTCATATAATGGCTAAAATAGGTTTGATACAGCAGTTGCTTTGCTTTTCCATGAAACAAAATTTTGAGAAGCTTTAAAGTATTCCTTGAACGTGCCATATGGGGGTTGTTTTTGTGTTTTGTCTATTAGACAGTGTCCTCAGTCTTCCCTGTATAAAGAGAGCGTGTCTGTGCATATTCATACTGGCTGAATTTAATTCTAACCCAGATTGACTGTTTCTTACTCACTGATTGCATCTGCTTGCTTATAGATCATTTGGTCGCCAGTTACTTTAGGAAAACCGTGTGGTTAGCTGTGATTCAGATGTAACCCCTTAGCTAATCTATGTCATCCATGCCTTTTTTTTGTTAGCTTCTTGGTATGTCAGCCTTCCCAAATGTGGTACTCATGAAGACATGTTGGGATTGCATCTCCCAGAATTCTCAGCCTGCATGGCCAAAACTGTTGTTGGCTCAAAATTCTGCAACCCAAACCCATCTGGAAGTCCCCAGATGGAAGAAAGCTGGCTTACAGCATCTTGGATGTCTAATAATCACATTTACCTATTGATAATGCAGTGTTACCTGTTGGGTAATCAAATTTCTTCCTAAAGAGTGGTTCCCCAGTAACACCTTTCAGTCTTCCTGGCCTTCAGTTGGTCCTGTATATTTAACATGAAGAAGGTTCTTGATATAGCAATAAGGTAGCTCAACCACAAGCATAGCTATGCATGAGAAAGCATTATTTCCAAATAAGATTTGGTCTAAAGGTAACTATGCCAATTACCCTAACTAGTGGTGGTTTGAAAATATTTCATTAGCTGAAATAGCAACATTTTTTACAAGGATATCCTTTACATAACTGTTAAGTGGGATTTCTTCCCAGGTAGGGCGGTGTAGGATTGCAGCTGGAAGCTTACTCCATGTTATACATCTTCACTCTTTACATAACTGACTGCCAGTGGCTGTGTTCACTCATCATATTAAGCCATAATGGAATGGGGGGAGGGGTTAGTGTGATGTGCGAATCACGAAACCTTGGTTTGTTGGTTTACAATTGTGTTATAAGGGCAAATGGGCTTTACTGATCCCAACCATGGCTTAGTGTGATATGTGAACAGTGATTTCATGGCTTGAAACTATTTTGGGTTTTTTTATCCTGCCCAAGCCGCTAATCGATCCACAGAAATGCAAGGT